GGTTTTGCAACTCCTAGATTACCGTGAGAGCACTTGTTTAATCTGAGGTATCAAGGTCAATTTTGGTTTACTTCATGTCGTCTTATTTTGATTGGGAAAAGTTGGATTTTTCTGTCCCAAAATGTTTATTTTTTAACCCCTCTTAGTAAATGCGAAAAATGAAAATATGGATAGCAGGTGTATTGCATGTACGGAGCCATTCCTTTGTAGCCTTCAAGATAACAATATGTATATGAATGGTGAATTAGTTTTGAGCTCTATTAGCTTGTATATGTTTCATTGTGCTGGTTACTGGAATAGCCATTCAATTATGGGCGTGTGGGCTTTAATATACAACTTAGTAAATTGTGCTTTCAAGTAACTGTTAGAATGTGAAGTTAAATTCTGGTTCCTGAAAAAGCATGCAGTATAAGTTGACCCTGATATCCAAAAGGCAAGTTCGTTAGAAGTGGGTTTAGTTATGTTTAGAAGTTCATTAGAGCATTTCCAAGAACATTTGTTGTGTGCTAGGGAAAAGACTTCCAATATATTTTCTACTTTGTGGCTAGACATTGAAGCATTCTATTAGCTGCAATCATTTATTTGTTCCTTTGAACTTTTGTCTTATCATATAATTTTATGCAGTCTTAGCAGAAATTCCATATGTTATATGGTTATTGGCAACATCCCGTGTCAAGGTCTACTGTGTTTGTGGGTAGACATTATATTTTTACACAACGTTACGAAAAGGCATTGAATAACAAGAACATTGCTACAAGTAATCTTTTGTTGCTCATCTGAATTGTTATGTTTCTGGTGCAGGAGGCAGGGTAGGTGGTGGTTCCATGTACCTTTTTGGCAAAGACTGAAGCATTGACTTACTCGTATTGCCAACAGCAGTTCATCTTTTCCCTAAAGTAAGTGGCCACTAGTTAATCCAAAATATTCATTTTTCCACTAAATAGAGAAATCTTTATACAGTAGTTAATAGTTTATAACAACTCATAGACCTGAGTTAGCCTAGAGGAAGAGTATAGCTCAAGTAGTAGAATGAACTTACTCTGCTTTTGCCTCCAGGATCCCCACTTATCCAGGCATATGGACATTATCTGGATTTGAATTCAGGCCCTCTGTTTAGTCTAGTAAAGAAGCAGACTTATTCCTCCATGAATGCACATAAGGATGTTTACTTATTAGTGAAAAATTAGTTTGAGCCCATAATCCACATTTTTTCTTAGAATGGGGGCTAAACAGCGATTCTCTGCCCTATAATTCTGTAGACTTGATATTAAATCTTGATTTCCTGCCAATGACATATCATGGTCCATCTCGAATAGGCTTAACCTTATAATGATTGCACACATCAAGATTTTTATGGTGGGTCTGAAGGGATGTGCTTACGCTAGTATAGACTTCGTCACCTTTCTCAAGACTTGAAGTCGAAATGATTATATGCTTTGCTGTACGTCTCATTATATGATTTCTCTGTCCATGCTACTAGGCGTATCAGTGTTTTGTTTTCTCCAAGAAATTGCGTGGTAGCATTTTTTATTGTTACCTTAGTCCTGCTTTGCTGAAATCGTTGAGAATTTGATGTTTGTTAGGAGTTTCATAGTCAGCAACACAAAATCTCTAGAAATGAGCAAGGAAACAAAAGCAAAAGTTGCTGGCGCCTTTCGTGCTATGAAGGCTATAGGGATTTCTGAAGAAAAAGTGAAGCCTGTTTTGAAGAATTTGCTGAAACTGTATGACAAAAACTGGGCGCTAATTGAAGAAGAAAATTATAGGGCCCTTGCTGATGCTATATTTGATAGAGATGAACGAGAAGTAAGTGTTGCAGGCTGAACACATGTTAGCTCTTTTTGTTTCCATGTTTTTTCTGCTCCCTTCTCCCAATTGTCGTAGTTGAGTTATCTTGTTTAATTGGTATCTCTGCTTCTATTGCCTGTTCTTATTAAAATTCGTAGTAATTTCGATCAAACTGAGATTGATTTATGTGGTATTGTCTCTCAGGAAGAACAGCGTTCAAAGAACACTGTGAATAATGATGTAGGTGTCCTTTTGCTCCATAATTGTGTTTGGTAATTCAATATATTGATGATAGACATGCTTTTATAATTAATCTTCTTTTTTCCTTTACTCATTCATTTACTGGGAAAATGACTTCAGTGCTAATATTTTGAATAATTTATTGTTGCAGGCAGCAGAGCAGTCAAAGAAGATCGTAAATACTGAAGAAGTAGGTGATTGTCATAGTTAGTAGCACTTTGTATGGATTATCGCAATTTCAAGATTATGATTTAGATCATATATCTGCTATCATTATTCAATCCCTTTATTCCTCGATCATTTAGCCAACCTGCATTTCCTAAAAACAAAGAGGGTTATTTTCAGGAAGAAGCTCAGGTACCTGAAGAGCCTGAGCAGCCACTGAAAAGATTGCGACTTAGGTACCGAGATGGTCAGACTTCCTCAAATCCATCTAACAGCAACTTGGCAAAACCTTTACTTATCGAGCCCAAAGAAGAACCCAGTGAAATACCTGAAACACATCCTCCGAAGATAAATGGGTCACTTAGCAAATTGGATCCACCTCCGCCCAATGCGGAAAACAAGACAAGCCAATCATCGGGTAGAAATAAAGGGAAACAGCCCGTTTATTCCAAATCCTTGGTTCTTCATGAGAATTCTGATCCCTCCCAGCCCAGTGGCTTCAGCAACAGCTCGCAAAATGACCAATCGAGGTCTGGAATGGGTAGAAATAAAGGGAAACAGCCTGTTTATTCCAAATCCTTGGTTCTTCATGAGAATTCTGATCCCTCCCAGCCCAGTGGCATCAGCAACAGCCCGCAAAATGACCAATCGAGATCTGATTCCAGACAACAATCTTATTCAATGAGGCTGAGAGAAAGAGGGACGAAAGCTGACTCTCCTCAAGTCCCATCCCGAGAAAAGAGGCCCGCTCCTGAGAGTTCATCCCGTGGTGTACGTCTAAAAGAGCCTAAGATTGAGCCGGACATCCCTTTATCATCAGGAAAGGCAAATACTGAGAGTCTAGCTTTGATTGTGCCTAAAGATGAGCCAGTGACAGACGATACGCCATCTTTGGAGGTCCGTGATGTGATTCGTCCAGGTATGACTTCTCTTTTGCAAACTGTTTTGGATGTTTGTTTTTTAGTCGAAGGGCTTCAATTATTTTATCTCAAGTGCAAGGATCTCTACATAGGTGACTTATTTGACAGTCACGGGGTGGTGCCTCTCACACCGCAGTCTAGGATGCTGAAATCTCATAATTGCAGATGCATTGAATGCATTCTTTGTCAATTTTAATTCCTAGTTTTTTTGACTAGTCAATCTCAATGACTTTGGGAGCTCGAATAGGTTATGAAGGAAATCACTCTGATTCAGTTTGCTAGTTGCATCATAAATTTACTTTTGTTAGTTGAATGTTGGTGTCTATGTGTGTTGTGTGGTCTGGTGTGAATGATGCCCTGCAACATTGCATTCATTCTACTTGAGGTGTTTTTATATTCGAAAATGCAGCTGCGAACTAATTATAATAGTGATGGCACGTAGATGATTTCACTTAATAATATTATCTCCTACAAGATTCCTTCATTGTGTGAGTTGCAACTCATAATGAAATGCAACACTCATTCTCATCATGAAGTTCAACTTTACAGTGACGTCCAACGGAGGAGATTTATCAGGTGGGCTTAGAGAAAATTGTGATCCTGAACCCTTGGCATTACAATGTGTGGATGTACAAGCGACAGCTGATGGTGCCACAACCCCACATGCATCAGGAAGCAATGGTAGGCTCGTAATAGTCTCGAATCATCGCCCTTTTAACCTAGAGGTTGCTTCCTCACCCTCGGGAGAAGTGAAATTCTACTTGAGTTATGATCCGGCTTCTACAAATCCTGATTTCCAGATGCCTGCTCGTGAGGCGGTTCTAAAATCAGTCGAGGATAAATGTCTCAGGTCACCCAATACTTTGGATCCACACATCTCTATGATGGATCTTCTTAAAGAAATGTGTCAGTGTTTTCTGACAATCGGAACTGATTGCAATAGTCAGTCTCTAAAGCCACCGGATGTGACTCCGACCATTGATTCAGTGAGTAAATCGTCAGGAGTAGACTGTCTAGGTGCTGGGGGTTCTTGTTCTAGTCCTTTAAATGGGTCTATGTCAGTTTATTATCGAACTCGTTCCAAGGCATCCCAGGCCCAAAAACCGGCACTTCCTGAACCTTGTGACGATGCAAACCATGAGCAGCAGCAGGACAAAAAGTGTCCTGGAGATGAACTTATGGCGAATGGAGAACTTGAAGGAAATTGTGTTGAAGAGAAAAATGATCTAAGTTTGGAGGTTGTTGTTCAGCAGCCCCTGGTGACTCCTGGAGTCTTGAGGTCACTTAATTCCGTTATTGATATTGCCAGGGGACAAGAAAAGGTTGTGATAACCGTAGCGAATGATGTTAATGATGAGTCACCCCCATCTTTCTTCTATATACCCCAAAATGCTGCATTCCAGAGTGCATACGTGAATTTTTCTTTGGCTCGTATTGCAGACAAAAATTGTTGTGGTTCTTGTTCTGGTGACTGTCTGTCGTTATCGGTACCCTGTGCGTGTGCACATGAAACTGGAGGCTATTTTGCGTACACGCAGGAAGGCCTTGTTAAGGAGGAGCTGCTTAAGGAGGCTATTTCTATGAATCGTGACCCGAAGAAGCATTGTCAGTTTTTTTGCAAGGAGTGCCCTCTGGAAAGATCCAAATGCGAGGATGTTATCGAGCCTTGCAAAGGGCATCTGGTTAGAAAGTTCATAAAAGAGTGTTGGTGGAAATGCGGCTGTAACAAACAATGTGGCAATCGGGTGGTGCAGAGAGGAATAAGCCGCAATTTGCAAGTTAGTACTACAGAGCTTGAGTTCTACACCATGTTTTGTGCAGCCGACTGCACGTATTATTATTATTATTATTATTATTTTCTCTTACTGTGTGTTGTGTTAGGTGTTTATGACTCCTGGAGGAAAAGGTTGGGGTTTACGTACCCTGGAGGACCTGCCCAAGGGTGCATTTGTATGTGAGTATGTTGGAGAGGTTCTAACCAATGCAGAGCTCTTTGATCGGGTCTCTCGGAGTCCTAATGGGGAGAAGCATTCGTATCCAGTGCTTCTTGATGCTGATTGGTGTGCAGAGGGAGTGCTGAAAGATGAAGAAGCACTTTGTTTAGATGCTACATATTACGGAAATGTAGCAAGGTTTATCAATCACAGGTATGTGGTATGCATGTTTGTATTGAGAGTTCATTACTTTGGGTTGTACCTTACTCTCTAGCTGTTTGCATTTTTTTTTTTTTTATTTATTTCACTTGTTGGGGTAATGATTTAGTAAAGCACACATTGGGATGTAGTTGACCAACCAGGGGTTATTAGTGATTGTAAACAGAAGCATACAAATTATAATTGTGTGGTGAATTAGTTATAAAAGTGATCCATGTGTTCTGAGTTAGCAGAATCAGATTGCTCCGTTAGATATTAGGTTTGATTGAAATATGCAGAAGAAGCAGAGAGTAAGACATTTGAAAATTGAAAACTACATTTTTTTTTCCAATTAAAATCTGGCACTCACATTTTCTTACCTTTTGTAAATGCATTGAAGTGCTAGGTATTTTCTGGTTTAGCTTTAAATATCCCTGTGGTTTAGATATAAAAATCCCTATAATCAACGTGTATGGAGATGCTTTCTCGCTTCTATTATGTTCATTTAGTAAATGTTACAATCGAGCCATCTACTTCCTGCCTCAGGCCTCTGAGAAAGATGAGTCGATCTGTCTACTTCAATTCTGATTTTGTTGACCTTCTTTTTCATTTTCTGCAATTGTGTTTTCTGCAATTGTGATAGATGTTTCGACTCGACTTTAGTGGAGATACCGGTGGAAGTGGAGACTCCTGATCACCACTATTATCATGTACTCAGTTGAATTCACTTTCCCCTATATACCTTCTTTCAGTTTTAAAGTTTGCTGAATTCAAGTTCTTTCGTACAAGCTAATTGAATATTGTCTCCCAGCTTGCTTTCTTCACCACAAGGAAAGTCAAAGCCATGGAAGAACTCACATGGGTAAGTGGATTTAAATTACAATGTCTTCTATATATATAAATGTCTTCTATATATATATATATATATATATATATATATTTTCCACATTACTATTTTAAGTTGACAGTGGACCTTTGAATGTTATTAGATTCACACCTTGTGTCAATTTATTCTTTGAAATTAACCAGTGAATTTCACACTAGTGGTGAAGATGATCAAATTTGTATGTCAGTAATAGAATATGGGGCTCAATAGTGAGGCTAATGGTATTATTTCAAATAGCAAGTGGAATGCAATGACTTACTGTGAAATAATCAATGGACTACAAGTTATGTACATACTTTTTCAGTTTGGGCAGTTGATGGACATTACGATTAACATAATATACCTGGCGTGGCGTTAGCGTATCATCATTTATGAGTTAATACCCGATTTCTCCCATCTTCCAAATTATAAAGTCAGGAATATTATTATATAGTACACCGACAGATGTGCAATCCTAGCTGCAAAAAAAAGGATAAAGCATAATCATGTTTTGCAATAAAGTTTATTTTCCACATATAGTTTTCTTTTTAGATTGTACTCTTTATTTGGTTGTAGGATTATGGCATTGATTTTGATGACCACGAGCACCCCATTAAAGCATTCCGTTGCCAGTGTGGCAGCAAATACTGCCGCAACATAAAGCGCCGTACGTATCATTACATCATCCACTAATTTATTTATATATTTTTTATCTGTTACATCTCTTCTATTGACTCCAATCTTTTTTATCGTATTTCCTTTTTTGTGCCACTACAGTNCTTTTTATCATATTTCCTTTTTTTATGTGTTGTAGGAGCTCGAGCCTCTAGGAAATGACCATGCTGCCAATTTGCCCCTGACGACAATAATTTAATGACATGAACTAGATTATGGTTTTTTAAGAATTAGCTGCAATTTTATCAGATGAACTTGGCTGAACAACAGAAGACAAGGCTTTTGGCCTTCTTGCTGTTGTAACTTGTTTGATGTATGACTTATGAGCGAGCCGGAGATCCTAGAATAATGTTCGAGCACTACAAATTTTCCGGCCCCTTGCTAATATTTATGTTGAAACTTCGGTTCTGGGGGGTCACTGAAAAAAAAAAAAATCTATTTTTTGTACTTTTTTTCATTATGCATATTTTATTTTATTAAATGAATTTGATTCTTGTTTTTCTCAGGGATTATGATTCTAAAAAGCCATATGATTATTACCCCTTTGAAATAACTGGAATTTGTTAACATCATCTTTTTACAAGTGCCTCGTTCAAAACCTTTTGATGTTACTGAGCTCTTTTTGTGTCATACTTTGTAAAATAATTAAAATCATCTTAATTATTTCAGATGGCGAGACGGCAAGTTTTTGTTGTAAAACCGTACGAAAAGAAGTTTTAAATATTTTTAATATTTCAATGTGGTGTATGCAAGTTGAACCTGAATTCAAGACGAGGAACATATTCATCTGGCTTGTACCATAATATTGATATGTGATTGAAACATCAATATGAATATAGTAACTGAATATTAGCATAACATCTCTAGTATGTGATTGAAAGATCAATATTAGCATCATTGAGTGGTCAATATTAGCGTATCATACACGTTCAATATGTGATTTAATATCATGTGATCGAAAGATTAAAATTAGTGGATGGCAAGATATGAGCATAACAATGAATGATTAATATTAGAATATCATACAATGAGAATATATGATTAAAAAAATTACAATTTTTAAAACGTGTCCGTACTCCGTACAAGTGAACAATTCACACGTGTCATAAATATATTAAATCATTTCAGTTTATGACTTGAATTGTTACATCATTTGACAGACCACTACAAGCCGAAAACGCCCCAACATTCGGGCTTGTCAACATTGGGCCTAACAACACAGGTTTTAATTATTTTAGTTGGGCTAAGCCCATACGACGAACTGAAAACCCTAACCCACTTCGGCGCTCCTTTAGCAGCACATAAAACCCTAGCGCCTCCTTACAATCTTTCATTTTCATCCGAAGGGAAGGAGTACAGAGAGCGATCTACCAAAATGTCGAAACGAGGTCAGTTCATAGTTCACAATTCACTCTCTGTAGATTTGATCTCTGTATGCGTTATCGTATTTTCTTTTGTGTTAACGATGATTCTGTTTGCTGTCAGGACGCGGAGGTTCCGCGGGGAACAAGTTCAGGATGTCGCTGGGTCTGCCGGTGGCGGCGACGGTGAACTGCGCCGACAACACCGGTGCGAAGAACCTCTACATCATTTCGGTGAAGGGGATCAAGGGTCGCCTCAACAGGCTTCCTTCCGCTTGCGTTGGTGACATGGTGATGGCCACCGTGAAGAAGGGTAAGCCCGATCTCCGTAAGAAGGTCATGCCCGCCGTCATTGTCCGCCAGCGTAAGCCCTGGCGCCGAAAGGACGGGGTCTACATGTACTTCGAAGGTATTTGCTTCTCGGCACCGGATTTATTTGTTTGTGTATTTCAGTTATCCGTTGTGAATGCTATGGTGTTATTGTTCATTTCCGTTTCTATAAATTTATGAACAGTGATTCTGGCAATGTTAGTATATCGTACAAGGGTTTTCTCTGTTTTTTGTTGAAATGTATTTGGAGCCTTTATGTGGCAATGTTACTAAAGTAGATGTTGCTCTAGGTTGGGCTTTTTTTTACATATCGTCCAATGTAGATACTCTCTGATCTAGTTTCTGTCACATATCATTCAGAATTGTAACTCACCTAAGGTTGTAGTAAACTGAAGCAAGTTAAAGTTTTAAGCTTCTTTGTTAAGGAGAAAACATGCTGCACTTCTTTGTTAAGGAGAAAACATGCTGCACTAGATGTTCAGATTGTGTCTTTATCTTTTTAATCTGTACCATTGATGATTTCTAATGCTATCATAAGCTTCCTATGGAACAAAAGAGTGAAAGGATGGTTGAAAATCTTTGTTGAATTTGCTAAACCTGCAAATATTTATACATCTCCAAAATTCAATGCAGAATTTCTTCAATGTGAGTTAAAATCTGTGAGTAATGTAGCGGGAATTAGGTGTTATATTGAATACTTATGAGATGCATAGTTGTTACTGGGAAATAGATTTAAGTCACTTGCTTAAATTATGTTTTTATGAAAACTATGTTTTATACTTTAGATTGTCATTGAGTTGCCATCCATGGATAGTGAAACTTATCAGTGAGGATAATTTTTCATCTAAACCTCTTTAGTTGGGCTTTCACTTCCTGTCTTGTGGGGTTTAATGGAAACGTATTTGCATTATGGTTTGTCTTTCAGACACATTTAGTTGTCCAATGAAATTCTAATGTATATTTTTATGTAATTGCAGACAATGCTGGGGTCATAGTGAATCCTAAAGGGGAAATGAAAGGTTGTATATTTTTAAGATCTCTTTATCAGACTCTATTGATCACTTTTCTTGCTGTTCATTTTTTTGTGCATTTATACTTAATTTCATGTGATAATGTTCAGTACATTGGCATGTCCTTTTTATGTTTTATTCATCTGACTTTTGTCTTTTGTTTTAAGGTTCTGCAATTACTGGCCCAATTGGAAAGGAATGTGCTGATCTTTGGCCTAGGATTGCCAGTGCTGCAAATGCCATCGTTTAGAGATTGAGTCTAGTGTTTTACATTTGTTCTTGGTTGCACAATCCGTTTATTTTGTTATATCACCAGATTGATGAAAGCTGTTACTGCTGGTTGGATTTTTGTTAGAGTCAATGATTGTTGTTTTTCGGATTTACCTAATTATTGTTTTTGTGTTGCTCAATTCGTGTGTTTCAATCTTCTCTATAGCCATCGTATCCAAATCTATGAAATCAATGTTGCTGCTCAATTTAGTTATTTATTCAGGAGGTGACATATATTCTAACCAATCTGGTGAACATAGTTATGTTGTGAAAATTAGTCAATGTTCTATGGGTAAAAGAAATGTGTTGACAAAACAAAAACAAAGGTCAAGTTAAAGACATTGGCTCAAACAATGGTGTAAACACCCAACAATTTCTACAAGGAAGCAGCTAGTTTTAACATATTAGAGGAACACTGATGGTTAATAGTTTTAAAAGTGTTACGATTTGTGAAATTATAAAATTCATTTCATATATATTATTGTCAAAAGAATTATGTCATTTTATGTTAAATTGGTACTCTGCTACAAATTTTCAAGTGCACATTGGTATCGGTACCAAAACAAAACAAAAAAAAAAAAAACAATTTTTTTTAGAACCGTAGTATTTGGAAATTGGAACGAGACCACTTCAATCAGGTTTGGTATTTATATCGGGAACAATACCAACAAAAAAAACTTTCCGAATTCGTAATATTTGGAACGGGACCATTTCAATCCCGTTTGGTATTGGAAAATTCCATTTTCTTGACCACCCTAATATAAGGACTGGATACCACCAATTTCTCTCATTCATCTTAGGACCTAGATAACATTCGCTTTCTGGATTTTTTATTATTTACCTTTTCAAATAGTTGTTTGTTAATGTCAAATCAAGTGGATTCTAAATTTATGACAACATACATAAATCATCAAAATTTATCTATGGGCTTAAAGCCCTATAAGATGAACATCCTACGGGCCTCAACTTTCATCTTTAACACAGCAAATTCAGGCGGGAAAGCAAAAAAGTTCGCTCCCAGTCCCGGCACTGATCAATCGAAGCCGAAAGAGTCTGTAGCGTGTAGACATCACTTTCAGATCAGAAGACATGGGCTGGTCATACCTCGAGGTATCCATGGCGGATTTGATGAAACTGATAAGAAACTTCATTGATATGATGATTTTAGCCGCCGGTTATCAGTCTACCGGCCGACCCGCGCACTGGGACTCTCACAACATCAAGAAAAGCTTCCAGTGGGCGCTCTTTATCGAGAATGTAAGCGCGATAATCGTTCGTTTTTTCTTTTACTTTTTTTTTTTATGAAGTTTTCTTGAATAAAATGTGAATCNTACTTATTCTATTTTGTATTTGTTCTCGAGCAGGGCCATGCTCCTCTGTCGTGTGGTACCCTTTGTCAAGCCAAGGATCTTCTGTTGAAGCGTTTAATTCATACCTTACCCCTTAGAGAATCACATTTAAAAGCTATCACATTAGCATGTGTTGAAATGGACCTTAGCATTCATAAGAGTATAGACAGTGACTTCCTTGACATCTACCTTGAAAAACTAATGAGAATCCCTTCAGAAGACAAGGATCCGAGGGACTGCAATTTTGTGGGTGGTGATTTTAGTGTTTCAGCTGCTCAGCAGCTTGGGAGAAGGCAAGTGGCTGCATCATGCTTATCTACAGCAGAGGCTGGTTTGGAATGCATTTGGAAAACTATAGAGGAATGCATGCAAAACGAGCTTGGAAATACACCCGACTCAGAACCAGCGAGGCATCCGACAAGTTTAATGTAATTGCTCGACTTTCTGAACTTCAAAGCTCGATTGATTAGTTGTTTGATGTTCTTCAGGAGCATCTTCTGTTAATTTCAGGAAATGTGAAAGGAAAAGACTATGTCCCAACAAGTACAACACATGATAATATGATATCTAACACACACTCTTAGCTATGCTGTGCACTATGTGTATATTTTCTTTTATTGATATTTTCAATCCATAGCAAATTTCATAAGGGAACACACTTTCCATTGTTGTGCCTTCTGTAAATATTCAGTAGATTTGCCTATGCGCTGAGGAAACAAATATATTTGAATTTATTGTTTGCCTGGTGTTCAAAGTATTATTATTGTGAGGTCCTCTTTAATTCTCTGTTTATTTTCCAGTTTGCTAACCTTTGATACAAACATTGTCATAAAACACACAACATGAAACCAAAGTTCCTATATGCTGGTGTCCTTGGTGCTAGAATCGTTTTGCAATGAAAGATTATTCAGTTACTAATAGTATTGAAGAAGTTTGAGCGTGAAGAAATTAGCAGAGATAGTAGGACCTACTGTCTGCCCTCTTTATACAAATATTTGGTTTGTATCAGCTAAGCAACTTTTTATTAGAAATTCATCATGAATAAACCATTCTTGTCTTTTCCAAAATTTAATAATTATTTTTTTAACTGTCCTAAAGTGCAGGAGAGATGCCACTTGAATCAACTGTCTGGAATTGTTGGAGATCAAGAAGCTTATCATATATGCTTGACAAGCGAACTGTAAGGCTGATATCTGGTGCCAACTTAATGTTCTCTGCCCCAGATGGTCAATGGACTCAAATGTTTGAAAGACTAGATGTTACAGCAGAGGCTGATAATTTATCTGAAACAATTGTAAGCTAGTTAGACTTTTTTACTAAACTTGAATTTTCTGAAACAATTGTAAGCTAGTTAGACTTTTTTACTAAACTTGAATTTTCATTGAATCATCAGATATATAGAGGAGGCTAATGCATGTCTATTGAAGTAGTTTCAGCTGATGAATATATGCTCGTGTGTTTCACTTCTGTGCCGATGTTTATGAGTTCTGACACTATATCTCAAACGCTTTAACATACGGAATCTAATTTGCTGCAGAAAGTGTTTTTGCATTCATGTTATTGCTAAATCTTGATCTCAAGCTTATTGGTCAACTTTCTTCTTCTTCATAGAAGATAACCATCGGACTGTTCTTGGAAATATATTGATGATAGTTTTTTGGCTTCATTGTAATACATAGTTATAATTCTTTTTCATGGCAGGAACTCTTGTTATTAGGATGTGCTGCAGATAGATGGAGTGGTGCTATTGAATGTTTCATGTCAGCTTCATATGAGTCCCTTACTATCTCAAGGATCCATCAGGAAGTATTCAGCTCACCATTGGGAAATGCTCTAAACCTTTTCTCAAAAGAGAGCCTCACAAATCCTAAGGTACTTTTATAATTGCAGGCTTTTCTAGTTGAATAGATGAGTAAGAAGTTAGTGAACTGGATATACTTATGGGTCAGAAGCATGTCTTCTCCAAACTCTTCTTATATATATATATAGTTGAAAACTTTTGAACACTAAAATCCTGTAATGTGGATATGTATGGGTTGCACCTAGGAATTAGGTGAAATTATGCACTCGACTTTTGCTGTTTCATTTCATTGTTTTAGTCATCCTTTTTCTTCGTGGAAAATGGAAACAGTTTGTTTTGAGTTTACATGCTTAATCGGACAGCTGTGATTCTGTATATTAAGTAATGCTCACAGAAAGAAGTGAAATGGAAAAATGTAGAGCGCCAGAGAGGAAATAAAGAACACTGGGGAATGTCCTGTTATTAAGCTTCCCAGTAAATCCCTTAGCGGACTCTGAAATCAATATATCTTTGTTACAGCTGCATTCTGTATCCCACACTTCAGCACCCCTCTGATTTGTTAAATAAGTAAATATGTACTATTTCTTGGTGGTACTAAGAAACTAGATCGTCTTATGCATCTTGAATTTTTTTATCAACGTGACACATGTTTAAGATATTCTAATTAAAAAAGGTTATCGAAGGGCTTCTAGTTGACACAACACAAACCTGTGCATGGTATTTGTTGCTTTAGTATTGCCGTAAAGTGTGCGGATATTAATCATCATGTTCCATTTCTTGTCTTTGATTGTTAGATTGCTTATCTCCACATTAATAAAATGTTTTATTTCATCTATATAGTTGATCTCCACTAGGTAGATGTCCTGACCATTTTGTGTAGATATAACCACCAACGTCCACATACCCCATAAAGTGGAAGTTGGAATATAGTTAGGATGCAAATTCTGGCTATTGCATCTCCATGACCTTGAATATAGGGACTTTAAAGCTGACAGTGCCCCCATAGGCCATAAAACAATTCCAGGAACTCATATAAGGCCAGATTATGTATTTCTCTCATATGAGCTACACTTGTAAATCAAGTATCTTGAATTAAAACCTGTTCATGTTGTTTACTCGGACGTCACACTATTTGCTTCTCGGCCAATCTATATTATTTCGGCTCCTTATACAACCAGCAAAGCATTGTACTTTAAGTAATATTTTAGATTCATGACTATTTGTATGAACCAGGAAAAAGGTGTTGTGGACTACCTGGAATTGTTACTCGGCAATCAGAGCAACCAACTGTGGAAACTATCTCCAGTCCTTGCAGCAGTTGCAATTCCTTCATGGTGTTTCTTAGTTAAAAATTGTTTCAGTAAAGCTAAATGTTTGTCCGCATAGAATGTGTTTGATCTCATATATATCTTCAAACTAATTATTTAATCTTTGATTATAGGTCACGGTTGTTCAGATCTTACCTCCATGAGCTAGAGAATCAATTCAGAGGAAATTCTTTGGCAGCCAGGTTGGTTGATAGGTCTTCTCTTCTAGGTTGTTAATGAATAATAATCAAATATATTGGATAGTGTTGGCATTTGTTCGGTTGTTAAGATTTTATTTTATTTTTGTGCAGGGGCTGCAATTGCAAAGCTGATGGTGTGGAACATAGGGAATGTATATCTCTTTAAGTTTCTCATCACGTGTTTTTGCATCCACTTTTTACTTCATATCTGTATTTAACTGGAAAACTTAGTTGATGTGGAGTTGTTTATGTGAAAGAAAATTCTAGTATAGCTTCTACTCAGTGAGATGAGTTCTTTTTTTCTTTTTCCCAAAGAAAAGACATTTTAAATTTTTATTTTTTTTTTCAAAGCAATCCAAAGATATTTGAGCGTGGTCATACTTTTTGTCATGCAATATTGCTTTTTCATGGGGAGGTTGAAAGATACTCGAACTATTCTTAGATATGTTTGTTGGATAAAGCCTCAAACTTGCAAATATGATGGCTATCGCTGATTATTCTTCTAGGTGAGGTAGCTGAGAGAATGTGGTGCCTTTACATTCTTCATGCTGCATCTGGACGAGCGGTTGTTTCATGATTGCTAGTTACTTTTTTTAATGGGTGAGATATCCATTTGTATATCCTTCTTAATTCTTTTTTTTTTTTTAACATGAGGTGTTGAGCTTTAAATTGTCGCCACATGCATGCATGTTCTGTTTGCCCTTTCTATTGTTTCTCATTGGTCCATATTTACTGTTTTGCACATGTGGGTTAGTTATGAAGAGCGGGCAGAGTAGAGAAAGGAAGCCAGATGTAAAGAGGTTCGGTTTTCTGCCTTTCATTGAAGTACCAATCGTACTTTTGGTTGAATTAGTTGTGTTTTTTTTATTGTATATGCAAATCCAATGTTTAATTTTGATTGTGCATCTCATTCTTGTAAGCATTTTTAGAGTAACGACAGGGAACAAATTCAGATTGTTGCTTGTGTATGCAATGCCTGCTATTGTTCATGACTCCAAGTAAAACTCTTTACATATTGTAAAAGGGCCAGGGTTAATAATTCTAATTTTTACTATAGCTAAGTACCTTATATTGTATGCTTACATGCAGTGTTTCAAACAATCACTTCCATATTCTATTTTAATTTTCCAATGCAATCCAGAAGTCGTCGAGGAATAAGTGATATGGAATATCAACTACATTACCAGGTAATTTTCACATACTTTAGTTTTATATGTGGTGCAAGGCTGTTGCTCTAATTGTTGAAATATCACAAACAATAAATGTATAAGGTTATTAACACGTCATATTAGAAGTGTGATAATGTTTTTGCAAGTTTGATGAATATTTATGTGCTGCTGACATATCGAGGGGTTTACAGTGTGTTAACTGTTGTGTCGTTTATTTCCAATTTCTACCCCATGTTGATTCTCCCTTCTTTTATCTTTTTATTCTTTTTTCTCCTATTCTTTTGGGGTTTATGAGTATATGTTTCCATGTTAGTCTGAAATCTGTTACAAGATTTCTGCTTGGGCTCCTGTCTGTGCTTATCTTTGGCTGCTTCTAACTCATTGCTCACAAAGGTTGGGACAGAGAATTGTAAACAGATTGTTATGAATCACTGGAAGAAAATTGTCCTTTGAATTGATTGACTTATACATAGATACTAATGTGGTGGGAAATAGTTCTCTACTGCAATAGTTAGACAATATAGACCCTTTTTACAAAACTTTTTAGCAGTTTTGCATAATTGATGTTAAACACAGGTTAATGATGATGTTTGGAAATTAGTGGGTGAAAATAATGTCATCATTAGAGTTGTTTTCTTATGGACTGTTTCTTCTAATTTAATTGTGAAAAAATAAAGCCCTACCTAATCTCCTATAGTTTAGAGAATATTTCTTTGGTATCTCTCATTATTTTCTAAACAATCATCGGCAATTTTTTAAGCATAAATCACTATTGTAGCACCTTTCTTACATATATGCTCCGTGGCCTGCTGAAATTTGAGCTCATAGTCAATGAGATTGAAGATTGAAATTGAGTTCTTGCTGTGAATGCTTATTTTTAGTCAATAATTTAACTGATTGATCCGTAGTGGCTAAAGTTTTTACAAATCTCAGTAGGAGGTTATGAAGCATAAACACTTCTATGATGTTCAACGTACTCATATCGGATACTTTACTACATAAGCTCTATATTATAAAAAGACTACATTGAATTTTACAGATTTTTTATTTTTTTTATGAGTCAGTTTATTTGAATCATGCTATAGTAAAACAGATACAAAGGATGGTCTAATATTTGAATTAGTAACACGTGTCACAATCTTATTACTTTACACATCACATCACTTTTAAAGTCAACTACCACTAGACATCCACCTCATTTTTTTGTAGTTTATATCAATACGCTAGGTCAATATAGCTTTATTCAGTGTAATTTACATATAATCATATGTATAATTTTACTTTTGTATGATTGAACAATTAACTTTTTCATTTTAATTAAACAATAATATATATTATAATATAAAAATATAATCTTTTATAATATGTGAATATGTAGGAGGAGGTCCAGTCAGTAATTTATGTAAATGATAGGAATAATAAAATAAAATATCACACACCATAATATATAGTTCAAAACCAATCATTACCCCCATTTTTAATTAATCATTGAAAATAATCACACCAAAACCACATTTATTTCAAGTTTTCAACGACAAGACGTGATAACAATACCCCACATTCCCATATCACAGTTGGCAAACAATTTAAACCCCCAACCAATCCCGCTTGCCAATTTCCTCAACATTCTTTAAACACTTTTGTTCTCATCTCTTCTCTTTCTCTTTCTGGAACATGGCAGGAAAAATCTTATTCCCATTGGCTCTGCTGATAATAAGCCTCTTAATTGGCTTAGGCTCAGCAGATTGGAACATTTTGAACCAGAGAAAGAAAACTGCATTTGGCAGCAGCTTGAAGAATTACTGTGAGAGCTGGAGGTTAAATGTGGAGTTGAACAACATAAGAGGATTTGAGGTTGTCCCTCAAGAATGTACAAGCTACATTGGAAAATACATGACCTCAACTCAGTACAAGGCTGATTGTCAACGGGCCATCGAAGAAAGTCAGCTGTATTTGAGTAGCTGCTGCAGTTTGAAAGGAGATGGAAAAGATGCATGGATCTTTGATGTTGATGACACTCTACTTTCCACCATGCCGTACTTCAAGAAGCATGGGTTCGGGTAAGTTTTTATGTTTGTACAGCTAAAGAAATTCTCGATTCGTATTTTCTTAAAGATAGTTATCGAGGATTTGATGTAATAACAAAACGACTTGGTGTTTCATATTGATTTCTTGAATATTTTAATTGGAATACAAGAAAAATAGTGATTTGTCAGCTTTGCTGTAAAAAAAATTTACAGCATTTCAATTCTTCGTCCCAGCTGTCGGCAAATTAGCCTCTTTCAATGCTCAATGCAAAGTCAAAATACTAAGTAAGGGTGTATTCAATTGAGATTTATATAGACTTTTGAAGAAGACGATGTATTCAATTAAGATTTATAGAGACTTTTTTAAAATTTTTAAAAGTATTGGGGTATTAATTTAAGATTTTAAAAAGTCTTACAAAATCTTGAGGTATTTAACTTTATTTGAGATCAGAATTTGTACTTTTTTCTCACTTCCCGACTAATAATTTCATAGAATTCCTCCAAAATCTGAAAATCTTGAAAAGTCTCAAATCTTATTAAAGTCTCAAAATGTCACTTTAAATCTCAATTGAATAAGTTCTGTATAATTTGATAGTAATTTGAAGGTAATGGAGAGTGCTGTAACCTGTAAGACGGTCAGATTTTGTTCTTGGTTGATGCTGAAAGTGAAACTATCCACGACCCACTTAGGTTTCAGAATTACAAAATTCTCCTTAACATTTGTGCTCGCTTTTACAGGTTGCCCTCCTGAAGAATTGTTTTTAAACATTTAAGGGGGCTATTTGTAACTTTTTTTTTATAAATAACTGGAGTTCTTTCGTAAATAGGCTAAACATTAGGAATAGTTTTTGTAGTTTTTCCTTTTGGGAACTATTAAAAACAAAAAAAACAGTTAAACTTTTTCATCTATCACTACAAATGATTTGTTCAATTTCTTGCTTTTACTCGCCAATGCCACCAGATTTTTATTCGGAAATACCTGTTGTTTTGACTGTTAACACATCCTTTCTTCTGAAAAAACGGCAGAAATCTATAAATGTCGTTTATTGGAGCTGAAATTGTGTGCAGGGGAAATAAGCTTAATCTTACATCTATAGAAGGATGGATGAAAAGTAGCAAAGCACCAGCACTCGACCATACACTACGCCATTTCCACGAAATAAAAGAAAAGGGGTTTAAGATATTTTTGATCTCGACTCGAAGGGAGTCTTTGCGAGATGCCACTGTTGACAACCTTATCAAGGAGGGCTATCATGGATGGTCCGGTCTTGTACTTAGGTAAGCTTGCGTTTAGTTTTGCTTCGGATGGGATATTAACATCTTGAAGATTTAAATTGTATATTCTTCTTTTTTTCTTTTAGGCTTTGGTAGACAAATAAGTTAATTTATAGCTTATTTTGTTAGCTTATAAGCTTACTGTATTAAAATAAGTTTCGTTTGGTAAAACGAGCCTTTTTAAAAAGCTCAAGTTTATCTCATAAGCTTCTTTGGGTAGCTTTTTAAATAAGTTCGTTGAAAATTTTATTTCAGCTAGCTTATCAGCTAATTTTACCAAACAAATTTATCATATAGGCTAGTTTTTCAGCTATAATCCATAAGTTATAAGCTCAAAAATTATTGATAAGCTATAAGCCAACTTATCAGCTAGAGCTAGTTTTACCAAACATAGCCTTAGCTTCTCCAACTTCAAATTTTGTAATTGGAGCACTCATAACTTCTTATTGTCAGCTAGTTCTTCTGTTGCTGTAAATTAGTTTCCCATAAGAAGCAGAAAATAGCGAGCACTTGCTTAGCCTGCATATGGCATGAACGTTTTTTTTTTTTTTCTTTTTTTTCTCCTGATTCGATTCATTTGCATGTACATTTACTTGGTTTAGGGGTCTTGAGGATGAAATCAAACAAGTACAGAACTACAAAGCTGAAGCAAGAAAGAGATTGGTTAAGGAAGGGTATCGTATTTGGGGCATCATTGGTGATCAATGGAGCAGTTTTGACGGGACTCCCAGTGCTAAAAGAACATTCAAGCTCCCAAATTCCTTGTACTACGTATCGTGAATGCTTGGGTTTTGTAATAAGAGGAGCTTATCGACATAATACACTTTTTACGAGCCTAAATTAAATGCTTTTGAAGTTGTGCGCCTTTGTCTTTTTGGACAAATGTGGAACTTTTGTTGGAAGAAGTTGAGATATATGTTCTTCATGAAAAAACTAAAGAAGCTGGAGGGGTTCAATGCAATCGATATGGATTTGTCCATTTTGAGATAATCTACCATTTTGATTGTTTCGATTTTAGCTTATAAAAAATGTGTCTCAGTTTAGTCTGGTTTATAAATTGAATGGAGCTTTGTAAGATATTTCAATTTTTAATTATTATAATAATTATATTTCAGAATTTTGTGAGTATATTTTTCTACAAATGCATAAGATATGTTGTTCTCATTTGATACAATTTTGTTGTCAGTTTAAAGGTAAGTTTGATTCTAACCAGTGACCAGTCTCCATGAAAGTTTTATTTGTCACTCTCACATATATTTACACACGTTTATGCAAATGTGTAGTGTGTGTTGATCCAACGGTTAAAATTGAATGTGATGAAATTAACCCAAAATCTAGTACTAAACAAATGGAGTATTGTACTATAGTGGAATGCGAGTCAAAAACCAAGAATTAGGGACTTTAGGGCCCAGTGGACCCTCCAACAATTATGGCTTGAGAGTTGCCCTTTAAGCCTACTGAAAGATCAAATATTATTTTTATTCCTGTGAAAATATTTTAAGGGCGTGTTTGGATACATATATTCGCTCAAAACAGATTTTTTTTGTTAACTATGATTAATTTTTTTTTGTTATAACTATGATTATTTTTGATAAAGATTGTATGGTTATTTGTTAGTAGAATTTTTAGTTTGTATTAGTATAATATTTAAAATATAATAAAATTGATTTGATGTAAAAGTATGAGAGCCATGATGTGAAGTGATGATTAGTTAAAATTATGTGAATGGATGAATAATGAATTAAAGTTGATATGATGTGTTACATGTATAAGAATTATTGATTGATATTATTTAATTATATTAAAAATATTAAAAATAATGAAGGTATGTAAAAATTATATTAAATTCTTAGTATGAATTGATTTTAGTTATAAATAAACACACCCTAATTCACCCATACTAGTATTTGATTATGTGCATTTGCACAGTACAAAACACGTTTTTGTTTGTATTTATTAATTAGACATGTACTTTTATCATATAAAAAATATTACTTTTTCTTAAGTTATTTTTATCATTCAAAATTAATTGAGATTTAAATTTTATTTTAACCATGAAACGTTTACATTTGTAACATGAATAAAATAATTTATATATTTGTGGCATATATTAAGAAAATTAACATAAATAAAAAAAATTATTGGTGTTTCTGATTTTTAGAAAAAAAGAATATGTGCCAATCATATTTTTCTTCCAACAATGCAACCAAATATAACGGTTACAACTCTGAATGTATCAATTAACTTTAAATTCCAATATTAGCCGTTACACATTTGAATATTTTGCAAATTGATCCAAAAAATAGATAATAAAAATATATATTAAGGTGTAACAGTTTTAGCAGATTAGTGAATAATTAATTAAAAAAATATAACTTTTTTTAAAAAAAATTAAAAATAAATTTTATAATATTTTATTAAATACATCAGCTAATAATTATATATATATATATAAATAAATGTCCACATATTGGGAGTTGGGACAACATGCTGATGAATTGATGTACCTTCAGAATCCAAGTAAGAACACATAAATTAACAAATTAGTGGAACGCGCGCGCGTCTCTCACACTTCTGCGGTTGTTTGTCAATATGGTTTCACAAAATAGATTTCAATTACCAAAAATTATAAATGAGGGTTGAAGACTTCACACGTCTGATATTAAATATATTGTTAATCATTTTCATATACAATCAAATATAGGAATCTTAAATAACAAAGTATTATAAGAATATTACACTACAAGTCTACAACAGCTGTTCTTATGTGAAGATGATGTAGTCATTGATCAACCACGGAATTTGATTTGGATTTATTATATAATACAATGGTGCAATTTAACAGTATCATATCATGCAATCTAACTTTAAAGATTTATTAGGTGCATTAAAAGACATCCTCACACATGTCATTTTTTTTTTTTTTTTTNCAAAAAGAAAAGTACCATTTAACTATGAATTGGAAAAAGAAAAAAGTCGTGTATGGAATATAAGTCAGGCGTAATAATATTATTAGACAAAAGCAAGATAAAAAACCAGTATCTAAAGTCAATAATTTTACTATAAATCATAATCCATTTACGATATATTGTATCTTATTCACTGAATGAACACTTATTCGACATTATAATTAAATAAAGAAAAAACTTAGTCTTCAAAATTCCAAAAATTCTATATTTTCTTTTGTAAGAAAAATTGGTTTTGTATCGATTTACGGTTCCATATGTTTGTAAGTGGAAGACTTAAAAAATTCTCAAAACTATTGTAAGGTGAATGAGAAATTAATTCTGAGTTGTATATGTGAGAAATGTAAGGTTGAAGTAATGAGTTTAAGTAACTCAAATTATTGGATTCGTAAAACATTCTATCTTTGACGAATGTTAGGATAATCAAAACGAGATCTCATGCAGCTTGCATGATATAACTCTAGAAGGATTCGTTGGGAACGAGTAGGAAAAAACGAAACTCGATTCCGAGTCCGTATGAACTCGTACGAGCCCGCGGCGTACGGGCGCGCAGCTGGCTATGGACACCGAGAGATTACAACCTTTGGTGACTAGCTATAATGTGTCTTTTGACCTATAGATGCTTCCGTTCTCGTTGGGGTACATCCTAGAAGGTGTCTTTTGAGTCTATGACACTTAAACCTCTTGGAGGTGTTGTCCTACATTTATAAATACACACATATATGAAATCATTCATAACTTAAAAATTTAGAGAGCCTTGCATTACTTTTCAAAGATCATATAACATATTGTGTTCTTTGATTGTTTTTATTGGGTCTTGAGAGTTCTTAGTGTTCGCCGAAGTCTTGTATATTTGAAGTACTACTATATACAAGTCGAAAGTCGTTGTATCTTGGAGGCGTTTGCTGTTAACCGTGGGTATTTTACGGGTCAATTTCGTCTTAAGGGGAACGTAATTATTACTTGCCTCGACTTTGATTTTTGTTTCATTTTTTCGTTCTCCTTAAACCGTCTTTTTGATATTCACAACCACACAAATTACATCTTTGACTGATGTTAACTATGTTTAATTGACTTTAACAACTAATATTACAATATAAATTAGAGTACGGCATTTATAAAATATACAAATTTATTATAAAATATGACGACTTAATCTACCTAACAATTAGATTATCTCACAAATGATATTTCTACAATAAACCATTATCTCTTTATAAAATATTGTATGTATTTTTTTCGGTGAACGAACATTTAACTCAATTTCATTCATTTGAATTATTAAAGGAAAATCTCATTTTTTAGAGTCAACCGAAAATTCCACGTTTTTGTGATAATTAATTATTTTTTAACACATATGCATAATTTTGTAGAATGTTTTATAAAAATATTCAAAATTATTTAAAAAATTATCACGGGTTCACTAATTTATTTAAAAATAATTTGTAAAATATTCAATTTTATTTAAAAATTATCACGGGTTCACTAATTTGATTCTTTTACGGGAAAAAAAAAGAAGAAAAGTTGTGGACATAAAAAGAAAAAGAAAAAAGGGAGTGGAAAAGAATAGAAAAGCCGTATTCCTTGAATACGGTTTTTGAATTTTTTTTTTGTAAAACGTATTCCGTAAATACGGGTTCCTTTGTAAAAAAAATGTAAAAAACGTATTTAAGGAATACGTTTTTTAATTAAATTACACAGAAAACGTATTTACGAAATACGTACTTTCTATGTTGGTCCACTCTCCCCTTTTTTTCTTTTGTTTTTTGTCCACTTATTATTATTTTATTAATAAATATATAAATCTCCCTCACTAATTTAGTTTTACAACAGTACATGAGCAGTAAATATATAACCTTTAAAAATTTAAGGGAACGACTAATTTAGTAAATAAAAGAGATTACGACACACGCCACAGATGACGCGCGTGGGCAAAGATACATCTCCACGAGCATAAAATTATTGGAAGAAGCCAAATTCTAATACAAGACTTCACAAAAGGCGCACTCAAAGCCGTGCGATTCCTTACGGCCACCCGCCGGTGACGGAAACCTCCAGCAAACAGTCGCGCGACCGCCATTCCAACCTACACGTGATTATCCTATCACACAGGTACCTTACGGCATATGCTTTATGCGCAGCCATCACGAGATTGTAGATGANCTAATCTGATTGAATTCCAGTTTTATTTGGTGTCTTTTATCTGTTTATGAAAATTCCAGCTATTTTTGAGTTAATTTTCGAATTTATTGTATTGACGCTTAGGGATTTTGTAAATAATGTTGTTAGGTTATTTGCAGGTGGTGTTAATTGGTCTTATCCATGGTTTGTGTGAGCATATGATTCCTGTTCTGAGGATTTTCTGCTTTTCATTGGCTGTATCTCATATACTCTGTCTTGCTTTGAATATTATTCTGTATATGAACGAAGATGTTGATGTTTCAGGCTTCCTTCTGGTTAATTTCTCGTGAACAGTGGAAAAATGTATAATTTTGTGCATATCTATACCCCGCAACAGTATTGTAGGTCTTATTTTCTATGGTTTATTGCTTGTGGTGAAAACAAAATTTTCTATGTGTACTTTGATGGAGATGCCATCTGGCTGAAACTTATGATATATCATCAAGCTTGTCGCTTTCCATTCTGTTAGATTAGTGCAATGATCTTTGGTGCATGGTCCAGTTCTGTTAGTCATCTTTTACGATGTGTTTGATATGACATATAATTTATAGATTTCTATAATTCCGTGGAACAGATTTAATAAATATATAATTCATGGCAAGCAGGCTGTCTAGCTGATTGCTAGCTTAACCTCTTTGCTGTGATGTACACGAGTTGTTTTCTCTAAATGTTATTTGATAATTACTCATTAACAACATAATAAAAAAGGATCTGGTTCGAGGAACCAAAATTACAGGTGTAACATTTTCAGAGGGTAGTCTTCACCGCTTAGATTTAGTGCTTTGATTTGTGAGGTGTACGCCGTTCCATAAAATCTGTTTCGAGAGCAGGTTTCAGCCAGATGATAAAGTTATAAGTGTGTAAAATGGTGGTCTTGAGTTTCAAACAGGAAAATTTCAATTAACATTGCCTTCGTGCTCCAATGGATATTGGACTTATACTGACTTATATTAATTTCTATCTTGCCCATGTTATTACTATGTTTTTCCTCCCTAGTGACTTTTATTGCTCATATATGTGTGTAGTATCTTGGCTACATAAAGATTTTTACCAACTTTATGAGTTATAAGACTTCCATTTCTTTCTCACATCTTTACATGTCACACTGACTCTCGGCTTGCTTGGCCCGCAATGTATTTATGTTTTTTAGCAATTTTCCATGCCTTTCCTATCACTAGTGTTGTATATTTGCATTTTTACCTCCTTTTGAGTTATGAGCTTGATGACTATACTTGTGGTGTTAGTTAATAGGGGACTGACAAAGCTGAGCTAGTTTCTGATTTACGTACATTAAAGTAGCAAGCCGCAATGGAAGCAAAACCACCTTTATCTATTCAAAGATCAAGAGCAGCGCAAATTAGTAATTATGGAGCCTCAGCAGCCGTGTCCTCTTCATTTCCCGTTCTTCCAAGCCCACTGCATGAGACATGTCCAAGATTTTCGGACTCCACTCATGTTGCATTAAACAGTGAACAACTTGTGCATCAACCTGCAACTGTTGTTTCACCATTGTCTTCCGACAGTGGGCTCGTCGGGCACATGTTTTCATCTTCTTCAGGATTTTCTACAGATCTTCAATTTTCAACCGTCCAACAACATGGGCAGCATCCAAGGCAATCCCCTTTTATTTCTCAATCGACGAGTAGTGGGAAATCAGTCGTGTTACCGAATGCAGTTGATTCTCGAGTTCTTCAGTCCACTGCATCAAGTCAATTTAACAAAGAAAATAACGACTCGTGGTGCGCTGATGCATTACCTGATTTTCTTGATTTTCCGATAAGCGCGACTATGCTGGACAGTCAACTAGATGGTAGCAACACCGGCAGCATTACCGTTCCACCTGAGGATTTCGGTAAACAAAGTGATTGGCAGGATTGGGCTGATCAGCTTATTACCGATAATGATGCTTTGACTACTGATTGGAATGGACTTCTTGGGGATGCAAGTGTTGCAGACCTAGAACCAAAGGTAGATGCTATTTCTGTGGGCATTAGTTTTGTGGCATGCTATTTTTAAAGAGAAAGAAAAGATAAGAAAAAAGAAATCTTCACTCGATCATCAATTAATTATAAAATAGAAAGAGTAAAATAATGATTTTTTTCTTTGTAAAATTGGTAGGTGAAAAACGTGAGCAACTAAATAGTGGGCTTTGCTGAGAGAATATGTAATAGTGACAGTTGAGGATAATTATTTTTGTTAGATATTTATTTTGGAGAGAAATGAGCATATGTTGATTGGAGATTGCAAAAGTGAAAGTGATTGAATATTGTAGTATTGTACTTTCTAAATCTTTCCATAAGCAACAATCATATAAAAAAAATGCATTTACCTTTTTATCTTCTTATGTTACTATAGGTAACTCATCAGATTCCCCAACCATCGAACATCTCCAAACAGCAGCCTCATGCATCCCAACAGCTGCCAGACACGCCTGGTGAAATTTGCACTAATGGCGGTCAGTCTTCATCAGGAAATGCTAATCCAGGAAAGCAGCGCATGCGTTGGACACCAGAACTTCATGAGGCCTTTGTGGAGGCAGTCAACAAGCTCGGTGGAAGTGAAAGTAATTTTTGCACCAATTTTCATTGCTTGAAAGTGACATGGTGTAAAATCTTTCTTGCTACTGACACTAATAGTTTGCTTTCACACAGGAGCTACTCCCAAGGGTGTCCTGAAACTAATGAAAGTTGATGGGTTGACCATTTATCATGTGAAAAGCCACCTACAGGTATGTTGTAATGTGTTGTAATCCTGTTTTTGCTTTAGTTTTTCTTTTGTTTTCTCTCTCTTTCAAAACCTGCATTGATGGATTTTCGATCTTCTTAATATCTGTTGACTGAACTGCAGAAGTACCGAACGGCTAGATATAAGCCAGAGACAACAGGTATGCCACTTGATTTTCCCAATCCTTTTGCTTTAATTTCCATGTTTTTGCTTTNAATTAGATAGTTCTTGATAGTTCTCCTTCACTGTACAAACTGAAAAATGAATGTGCATAGCCTGAGATTAACGATCATCATTTCCTAAGACTATGTTCCTCTTGCAGAGTCTTCAGAGAAAAAATCCGCCTCTATTGAAGATTTTCCGTCACTCGACTTAAAAACGTGAGTTTGATTGTTATTAAATTCTTATAAACTGAAAAGTGACAATTTGATTTTTTTTATTGTCTTGTAGTAATTGTATTCTTCTTAACTGCAACTTTCTGGATGTTTATTTATGAGTTATGACATCCATTGATCATGATTTTATGATCCCTCTTTTCTGAATATTCTATTCAGAAAGGGAATGGCAAATGTGAAAAGAGTTAACTATAAATAACTGGATCATAGATAGTGCTTTTAAATGATGCAAAACCATTACGGTTGCTGAATTAGACAGGAATCAAATGGAAGTTCTCGATTGCATTATCTCTCTATGTTGCTGTCATTTTCCCTAGAACTCAAATGAAGCGTTCTTCTCGTCTTTACAGGACACATTATTTTATATGTATATGCGTTCAATTGATGAAGGCACTTGTGTATGGTTGTCCTCACTTCACATTGTTTCATTATTGTTAGAAGTTATATTTGTCCCACATCGATTAGTTATTGGGTTGTTATTGTGTATAAGTGTGGGCTGGGCACCCTCTCCCTTTGAGCTAGCTTTCGGGGGTAAGTTCTACCCATACACATATATCAATTATGATTGAATTTTTCAAACTGCCTAGAATCTTGAAAAAAAAAAATGCGAATATTTAGTTCACTGTTGTTTAGCTGCTTCCTATACCATATTTTCCTTTTCCCCATTTTGCTGAATATCTCGTCAAAAACAGGGGAATTGAGATCACCGAAGCACTGCGGTTGCAGATGGAAGTACAAAAGAGGCTGCATGAACAACTTGAAGTATGACAATTTTGTGCTTTATATAATTATTCTGAACGCCGTTATAAGTAGCGTGTGATGAAGTTCAAACCAAACAACTCTTTCGAATTTCTTATGAAGGCTATGGCTAATAAGTCTATTAAGTTTCTAATTGGTGCATTGTGAAAACTGCTTTCTGCATATATATGGCAGTTAATTTAATCTTTGATACAGGCACAAAAATAATGAAAAGAAAGAAATGCAGAAAAAAATTATACACAGATGAGTTGCATTGTTTTCTATCCTTCTATTTACTATTATAATCATGGATTTCAAAATACTGATTATGACATTTGACAACAACCCATGAGAACAGAAATAGTCAGTGGACAATATATTGTAAGTTCGTAACATTTTAATCTATACTTTTGTAGAAGTGCTTCTTTAGTTCTTTTANTTCTAAGTCGTGAACTGATGTGTGATGTTATTCTGCAGATTCAAAGGAATCTTCAGCTCCGTATAGAAGAACAGGGAAGATATCTTCAGATGATGTTCGAGAAGCAGTGCAAGTCTGGAATCGACTTGGTCAAAGGCTCATCTTCCAACAATGAAAACCGAGACGAATTGTTAGAAAATGCCGATGGTAATGTAAAGCCAAATGAGGCGGCTAATGAAGCAAAAACACAAGGAGAAACTTCTCAGTTGGAGGCCGGTAAAGAAAAATCGGTCGAGCTTGAAAATCCCGAGGCAAGCTTTGGTGTAACATCCGAAGTGCAGCCAACAAAACGCGCGAGGGTGGATGAGTAGGCTGTGGGCCCCATCACCTATTGGGATCATGTGAAGACACTGAAGTTTTTTATTGTCTATTTGACTTTGGAATGGTATTCTATTGGGCATGGGGCTTTTGTTTTCCATCATGAACTTATTTTAGTTCTTTAAGCAGACAAGTGACTTTTGGAGTCTAGCACACTTGAATTTTTCTGCATGTAGTTTTTGGAATTAGGGACATGAGAGATTTTTCGGAAGTTTGAATGGGGAAAAATGAAAGCTGATGTTCTGCTCTACAGG